AGCCGGGAGGAAAAGGAAGGGGTGGGGGGGGAAGGTGTCGGTTTTAAGATCTGGTTTTGTTTCTTTCTGTCCTCTCAAGTAATCGGTTTTTTGTTTCCCTTTGTCCTTCTAAGTAATCATTAATAAACTGTTTTGCTTTGAGAAAAGCTCTGCCTGTTTTGCCCAGGACCATGGTTGGTGGGTGCTCCCTCTGTTCTTGCCTCAACCCTCAGTCCCTTTGTTTTTTTTTCTCTCTCCTCTGTACTTTACTGGAGAAGGAGAGACTGTGTGAGTTTTAGTTGCTGGATCAGCCTAAAACCACGACACCTGGACTTTATCAAACCCTACGTATAAGTACTAACTCAGGTAACTAGTCTGTACTTAAATTGTAAACACTTAGTGAATTAGCTCTCCTAAAGAAAGAATCTAGGTTAATGGAAGAACCTGTTTAAGTTATCTTTGAGGACGCTTGGAAAGAGATTTCATCTGTGTAAGTTCTAAATTCAGAAATGCTTTGAAATTATGACTGCTTATGAACACACTGCAGAAGAATCTCCTGCCTACAAGCACAAGAGGCAATTAGGAGTTATTTTAATCATGTAACTTACCACAAGTAGTATCTTATCAGATGCTGTAATTGCACAAATTGGATCTCTTGTTCCCTGAAAGAATACAAGCGATATCACCATCAGTTTTAATGCCACAGTAAAAATGCAGTGCTAAAAAAAGAAGTTTTATTTAAATAAACAAGAATATTGCTAAGTATCCACATGATAAGGGGCTATCAAACCTCAGCAGTACACAGTAAATGGATGGTTTATGATATTAGTAGCCTTTGTTATGGGAATCATGACAATAGTAATATTAACAGCTTCCTTTCTTCTCCTGTCCCTCCTCGAGAAAAATAAGAAACCCAAAATGTAACAGGTGTTCAACAGAAAACACAAGGCAGCAACCATCCCTGACTTGTGAGCCCCGTGATTAATTTCAGGTATATTGGTAAGTACAAAAGCAAACACGCGTGCACACACATACTCATAAAGTGAAAAAGGCAAAAAATACTAGAAAAGATTACAAGAGTATTTAGTTTCAACAAGCTTATATTTTGTGGAAACAAGGGGAGCTGCTTCTCACCAAGAGGACAGCAGATGTCTACAAACTGGACCCCAGAATATACTTTTTGTATGTTCCCTACAGTTTGGTGTATATTTTGAGTAATACATAATGACACAGTAACAATGCACTAATCAGAGGGAAGAAAAGTAACACCTACGTACAAAAGGCAGAAGTAAAAGAAAGTTTGACCACTTCTGCTAATGAAAATCTATGAAAATAAATAAAGCAATGCTAACTACTTCTCTTTCAAGCTACCAGTGTCACCACAATAAACTAATTAAAAACATCACTCACTTCAAAAGCTCTGCTGTAATCAAGGTGTCCATCTGCAGATCCTGAAGGGGTGTCATCAATATGATAAATCCTGTAGAAAGAAAAGTTAGGAAAAAAAAGTGAGTCCAAAGAAAGGATCATTTTTCGTAGCATATAGGTATCTTCAATCCTTGGAGAAGAAACCATTGCAATTGGAAAAGAGAATAAAAGCTATGCCTGTTCTTATGTTCCAGTAGTATCCCCTTTGATAACCCTGCTTAGTATTGATATAAAGATATGGTATTTCCTATCAGTCTCACAGATCCTGATGGTCTATTCCCATACGATCTATAAACTTTCATTCTGCAACAAGAAGTTCCTGCAAACCATCAACCACTCCAGTTGTCTCTCTTCAAACATGCACTTCCATATTTCCTCAGGCTCTTCTCCGTACTTATGAAGAGCCTCACCTTCATATCCACAAAATGTATGTATTACTGTATTTAATACTTCATCATAACTTGTGCCTTAAAAAGTAGCACCAGGAAAGATTTTAGAATGCTAAAATCATAGTTTATGCTGAATTACAAGTATTTACTTTTTCTGTACTTCTGTCAAATTTACAATCTTGTCCAAGGCTAGGACGTTCAGGTGCTAGAACAATGGGAGTTATTACACTGTGTACAAATAATTACTCATTATTATGGATATATGGTGACAGGAGATGGTAGATTTATAGAAAGATGCTACATGGAAGAAAAACGTAAAATAATACAAAAGAAAATCATAACAAAGTTCCAAGCTTGTGGAGGTGACAGGAAAAGTTAATGCCACTACTGAGCACCTGGGAAAGAAATATTTTGGAGGCAAGATGATATTGACTTTGGCTTGTTTAGTTTGAGAGAATAAAAGTCCATACAGGATTAGATGTCAAAGATAACAATCAGGCCCAAATGTATTTAAAACAGAACTAGCTGGACAGACTATGTCCTTACAGCCACTGACACACAAGAAGCAGTTGAAGTTATCAGAGGGAATACAGCTGCCCAGAAACCAAGAGTATGGAGGAGAAAAAGGGGAAGGTGAAAAAAGCATCAAAACACACAGCTCTAAGGGAAGCATGCAGCGAACAAATGCAGACACTGAACAGGATCTAATCCAAAAAGTCTAAGAGATTTGGATAACAAACGCACATTTGTTATGACAAACTGTTCTTTAGTATTTAATCTTGCAGGTCTGTAACTCAACAAATCTGAGTAGAAAAATGAGAAGACAGAAGTTCATATTTTAAGCATGGGAGAATCCACCTTTATCAATGATACCAATGCAAAGGAAGAAAAAATGACAAAGCCTGAAGACAAACCTTTCCCTGCCTTCTTTTCTTGTCCGTGCTACCTGATTAATTTCCATTGCTGTGAGCTTCTTGGCCACACGATACTGCCAGATGTAAAACGCTTCTTTTGAAGCTGCTATCACATGCGTTTTGGTCATTGTGACAAACAGCGGCCCTGTTATGAAACCCAAATGGTTGTAAAATTAGAGCGGCAAGTGTTGGACTGGATGTCAATTTGTAAATTTTTTCCCAGGTGGATAAAATCGTATCTCCATAGGTTAAAAGAAAAAAAAAAAAAACAAAAAAAAACAAAACCAAACAAAAAAAAAAAACCAAATCAAACCAAACCAAACCAAACAAAAAAAAAAAACCAAACCAAAACAAAACAAAAACAAACAAACAAACAAAAAACAATCCACATCACACACAACCTAGCAGCAGGTTTCATTAATTGCTAAGGAATTTCACTAGGGCCTTGTGGCCTTATTCAGAAGAACAGAGAAATTCTTTACAAGTTCTGATTTTAAAATTAACACTTTTCTTCCTATTATTTCAGCAAATTCCCATGTGCTAATGCAGAAGACATGAAATACATAGAGACAAATTTTCAGGTTAATGACCAGTTCAGGAATATATCAAATCTCTAACAAGATCTATAAAACACATCCATATCTGACATATTTTTAATTATTCGAATACAAATTTTGAGTTAGACAAGACCTAGAAATGCTGTTTATATCTTATTTGGCCCAGCTATTAACTAAAAATTCTTTACCTGCATGGCAGCCAATTAAATATTTAGCAAAGTGTGTGCCTAGTTTACTTTATTGCATCCAAAGTTCACAGTATAGGATGGCAGGGTATTTTCTTTACTTCAGCCCCAAGTCCATTTAGAATATGTGGATAAATTGAGTATCTCATTCCTGATGTCAATGTTTGGGGAACAGAGGAAAAAGATAAATATATATATATATGCACTCAAACCATTACATTATTCTTTATGATACACTGTCTTGTGGTGCCTTTTTTTTTTTTTGGTTACAAACCTGTTTCATCTTTCTGAAAACAAGTGAATGCACATAAAAAGACATAGAAAAATGCAGAAACCTATTAAATGTAGAATTAGAAGACATTGAGGGATTCAAGTAAATCAGTATGCTACCAGACAAAACAGGCAAATTCAAAAGAATTGTGTAGCCCAGCCTGTTAGTGAAACACTGAGTCATATAGTTAATATGCTGTGAGCACGAAATCTGATTCTTTTACAGTGAGTCACAATTTTTTCTGTATTTTAGCACAGAACAGAACTCTGGAGGGAGCTATAAGCCTACCACAAAGAGCAGTGCTGCCAGAGACAGATCGGGGAAGACTGGTTGAACAGATTTTATTTCTTTGAAACCAAGAGGATTATATAAGCTATGTGATGGCTGTAGAATACTTTTCAGTATAAATGTAAATACTGGATAAGAAGGCTTAGTGATGATGCTTAACATGTGACCAGTACAGTTGTTTACATTATATGCAACTCAGTGTACTTCACATACTTGTAAACATTAATTTCAATAATTAGTCACACACAACTGAAGAATACAGTCTCCTCTGTTTCATTAACAGTATCAATAAATTCTATGTATTTAATTTGTTCTTTTATTAACTTGCAGCTGTACATGCCATAACAATTAGTACTTTTATCCTTTAAAAATTAAATATGAGAATCTCCTGACCTGAGAGGGAATAAGGTTTCCTCTTGCTCAAATCACAAAGTTTTACTACTAAGCCTCATATTTAGACTCAGCTTAGTTAATGTTCAAACACCTGGAGCCTAAACTGACTCACTTGTGCACATCGCAAAGTACTCCAATCTGGGAAGAATATTCACATAAGCTCTGTTGTGACCCAGAAATAAGATGGTAACACATCTGTGCTTTATTCAGAGGAATACAATCAATTAGGCATTTTATGAACATGCCTCAGATTTAAACTGATTGTTGCTGTCAAAAAAAAAAAAACCCACACACCAACTCTTGACACATTTCCCTGCCACTTCTTTTGTATCAGCTCTAGCATTAGCTTGACCAGAGAGTAAGTTGGATCAGTTCATTCATCTAACTGACCTCAAAATTAAATAAATAAAAGCTTAGTTTAAATTGCATTAAAGAGCTAAATCACAAACCAGGAATGAGCAGCCAGCATGGAGGGCAGGGTCTTCCCTTCTTTGCAACAGTAGGCTAAATGATGATTGGATTTAAGCCAAATGTGAAATCAGAAGGAGAGGGATACACAGCACACAGACACAATCATCAGGATCAGATTGATAAAAAAAAACCACAACACACATCTGGAAGAGCAGTATCTATGTGGGAACTGATGCTTTTACAAAATTGCCTACATAGCTTAAACAATCACATAAAAGTACAACATACAAGATTATTTTCTAAAATTGCTTTAGCATTTTATACTAGGCAGTCATTGAAAAGCAAACACACAAAAAAAATACTAACAGGAAAAACTGTGGAAAAAGAAACTGAAATTCAAGTCTAGATTAGACATTAGGAAACATTTCTTTACCAAGACGGTGGTCAAACACTGGAACAGGCTTCCTAGAGAGGTGGTCAGTGCCTGAAGCCGGTCAGTGTTTAAAGGGCATTTGGACAATGCCCTTAACAACATGCCTTAACTTTCGGTCAGCCCTGGAGTGGTCAGGCAGTTGGACTAGATGTTCGTTGTAGGTCTCGTCCAGGTTTTAGTTCCCTCTTTAGCTGTATAACAGCATAGATTCAACACGAGAAAAATATGCCTCAGCCACTCCAAGTTTGGGCTGTTGCTGGGGCAGAGAAGGAAGGAATGGGATTTGTCCTTTTCCTGGGAAAGGAAAGATGCTCCTTTAAATCCCTTCAGGCTGAGGAAGATCAGGAACCTCTTTCTAGGCAGCTGGTTTAGCAACTTAGTTTTCCTGTAGTGT